ATTAAGAGTGGGTGTTCTTAACCATTCTTGTTGTTAATGACTATGTTTTTGAGCCAAGCCTTGAAGATGGCTTGAGGAGGCAGTGGTAGGATTGGAAACCTGAATGTGTTCTGGTAGACGAGGGACATGGGGTAGGAGGAGGGCAAAGATCAAAGAGGAACAGGGAAGTTTGTCAAGGCAAGCTTAAGAAACTGTGAATGTTGGCCTAAGGAGCAATGGCTTTCTCCTGTAGTCTGGGAGAGTCATCCTAGTGTTTTAATCCTAGGGGTGACATATTCAGGTGTCCTGAAAGAGGATGGATTAGAAGGAGATGGCTAGTGACATGCTTGGAAAGGGTCAAAACCCTTCACAAGAGCCAATGGTTAAATCTTCCGGAATTTTGCAAGCTGGCTGTTAAATATGGCTGCTATTAAAAGTAAATTATATAACATAAATTTAAATATATTAGGACAATCTAGTACTGAGCCCCATCTTCTTAATTATGTTTTTTCTCACTGTCAAGAAGACTAATGTGATGTTCTTAGCACTGAAACCAGTGGATGACAGGTCTTATAAAAAATACAAATTACAAGGAGATTGATTCTTTTTTTTAACATTTTTTATTGATTTATAATCATTTTACAATGTTGTGTCAAATTCCAGTGTTCAGCACAATTTTTCAGTCATTCATGGACATATACACACTCATTGTCACATTTTTTTCTCTGTGAGTTATCATAACATTTTGTGTATATTTCCCTGTGCTATACAGTGGTGGAGGGTGGGAAGGGATAGACTGGGATTTTAAAATTGTAGAATAGAGGTTGATTCTTCTATCTGAAATTCTCAGAAGTTTTTAGAGACAAATAATTTGCTTAAAGATTCAGCAAGTCAGAAAGTAATACATTCTAGAAACTAAACTCTAGAAAGATAACAAGTGATCAGCATCCATCTCTTTCTGATTATTTTATTTCTATTTTAAAGATGAAACAGGTGAGGAAGTAATAAAACCTAGAACCTAAAAATAATAAGGCTCAAAATCTATCACCTCAATTATTTTATTATGTTTTACTATTATCTGTATTCTTGAGGGTCTTCACAAGTATTATGTATGTATATTGTGGAAATAGTATATAATGTTGTGCTGCCACACGTGCTTTAGGTACTTCAGCCACAGAGAGTGTATCTACAACACAGAAATTGGCAGGTGCTAGCATACCAATGGAGGTGAGCCTAGAGGCAGGACAAGCTCACTGAGAGAGACTTGGAAATAGAGACAAGGAACATCATTACCTTGGAGAGATCTAGATGGTAAGTAGGACAGAATTTGGTCACCAAAGTTCAGTTCTGGCTAATCATTTATTTTCCAAAGTCCAGTAAGACAATAAAACAAAATATCTACAGATGAGGTTGAACTTGTAGAAAGAACTACCTCAAAAAAAAAAAGTACAATCTCTTGAGTGAAAGGCAGGCTCAAGGGTGAACAGTACAACATAGGGAATAGAGCCAATGTTTTGTAATAACTGTAAATGGGGGGAAATAACAAAAACAGGTAAGTTTTTTGTAGCAAAAGTTACACTCAGTGAGTTTGGGCTTTATTATTTTTCTCTAAGTCCTCTCTGTAAAAGTAAATACTTTACATCTCTGCTGGGCACAGAGGTAGGCATTAATTCTCAGAAGCACCATACAATCTTTGTTTTCACAGTGTTAATGTTTTCTTCCGTCCAGAGTTCTGCTACAGCTCATGAATTATCAAAACCTCAAATTCTGGGAGCTTTTTCAGTGCCTTGCATTTCCGTTGAAAGAAAAAAGTGTTGAAAACATTTTAAAATAACTTTGCAACTCTTGTGTTTTCTTTTTTTTT